CCATATCAGAGGATCATCCACTTTATAGCGGGTCTGGCCCTATGGGCACCTCCAACACCTTCATGGACCTCGGCTATGACCTTCATAGCATTCTCACTACCCAGACAGAGTACTAAGGTCCCATCGGATCTCCGTCGATACAACTCTCCAACGATTTTAATTGTTTTAGAAGCTGATGGCACACTGCATTTGAAGCGACCTTCCCAGGGTCTATTAGACCTTCCAGCAAGGGGTGCACCATTCTGGGTATTGATCAACCTGCAAACATTCATATCCTTGCAGTATTTCATTTCTTTTGAACCCGGAAGCCTACTGTCCTAAGTTGTTTGCCTCTAAATTCTCTTTTCGAGGTATATCCTCCAATGCTACCTCCATGAGCCGCTGAAGAAGGTCGTGGGCTTTTCAAAGAAGATCCTGGAGCCATGGTTCCTTGCCCTTGAATTCTTTGAAGGCCTGTCGAATAATCAGCTTAGAATCCCCTCGAATAAAAACCTTATTGATACCTTCTGCGATCAAAATTTGTGATGCTAATAGCAACACCTCGCATTCGGCCTGGTTATTGATGACACTTTGCGGAAATTGATGGGCGAAGCGCCACACTCTCCTTCTGGACTGAAGACCACCATGCCTACTCCGGCTGCTCCCGAGGTGCAGGACCCATGAAAGGTCACCAGTAAAGGTTCTAGCCTCAGGTAATCCAAAGGAACGGCCTAAACTATCCCGGGATGTTCGGCCAAGAAATCTACGATGGTCTATTCTTTCACGGCCTTAAGGGCTGGTATGTTAATGAAAATGACGCTAACTTCAACGCCCATTTAACTAAACGCCCTTGGAGGACCAGCCTATTTAATAAATACGCAGAAGGTTGACCTTGACCTTTGTTTCAACCGGCATCAAATAACATTCAAATTTCGTGCATGCATTATATAATGATAAAAAAAAAAAAAAAAAAGTTTTCAATGCACAAATAACAAATTTCAACATCATTTAAGGTCTTACTAAGATAATAACGCATTTCTGACCTTCATAATCGTCTTGGGCAATGAGGCAGCCCATTGTATCATCAGTCGCGGCTATGTACAACTTCAACTCCATTCCACTGATTGACGGCATTAACACCGGATGAGATGCTAACGCCTATTTAATTTGATCCAGGGCTTGTTGTTGGGTTGTTCCCCACTTGAATACATCTTTATTCCCACGCAGCAACACCGAAAAGGCCTTCATTTTCTTGGCAGTGTTGGTGACGAATCTCCTCAAGATATTGACCATCCCCATCAAGTTTTGCAGCTCCTTAATCTTGCGTAGGGACCCAAGTTACTGGATAGCCTTCGCTTTATTTTTGTTGATCTCAATGCCCCTTTGATGAACCAGGAAACCTAAGAAATTCCCTACTTGTACTCCAAAACAGCACTTCGTCGGGTTCATCTTGATGTTGTACTGCCTCATCTGCATAAAGGCCTTCCAAAGGTCCAGCAGGTAATGATCGAATGCTCAGGACTTCACCACAATGTCATCTATGTATACCTCCATAGAAGCACTGATCAACTCGTGAAATATTGAGTTCATTGCCCTCTTATAGGTCGATCCGGCATTCTTGAGGTCGAAGGACATTACTATCCACTCGAAGATTCCAATTGCTCGAAGGAAGCGGAAAGCTATTTCATGGACGTCCTCCTCGACCAAATATATTTGATTATAGCCAGAGTAGCCGTTCATAAAAGAAAAAATCTCGTATCCAGCCGTAGAATCCACGAGCATGTCGGAGACTGGCATCACGTAATCATCTTTTGGTGTTGCCAAATTGAGATTGTGGAAGTCAATATGGATCCGGATCTTTCTATTTTTCTTCATCACTGGAACAATATTTGAAATCCACTCCTGGTATCTGCATGCTTGAATAAGTTAGCTTTAAGGAGTTTTTCGAACTCCTCATCCACTTTCGGTAACAATTCCGTGTTGAAACACCTAAGGGGCTGTTTCTGCGGCCAAAATGAAGTTTTAGTAGGTAATAAATGCTTCACTAAGCTCCTTGATAGCGCCGGCATCTCATGGTAATCCCATGCGAAACAATCTTTGAATTTTCGGATTAAAGCAATCAGTTGTTCATTTTCGACATCCAGCAAGGTGTTGACCCATGTCATCCGAGGGGCTGCCTCATCCCCCAGGTTGACCTCCTCCAATGGATCCTGCACTTTGAAGGGTGGAGCAGCTCTTCGAATCGCTGAATGAATATCCTCTTTGTCTGGGTTGCAAATTGGCGGCTGGGAAGATGTTCCCGTCTGCCTGTCAAGAGGTTTTGCGGCATGATTTCCAGCTTGTATAAATGGACAGCCGGACCTGCCTGCTCTCATCTCGAAATCCTATAAAATTAGGATGTCAAACATGATTAATACCTGAATTATTTTTCCGTGCGTCGGCCTCGACTTTGATTTCGAACCCCTTCATGGTTAGATTATATTCTTTCGATATTCCAGCGTCCTCCAGCATCATGGACAACGGGTATACATTATGAGAATAATAAATGAGTTCTTCCGAATGCACCTCCATAGTTGGATCAGCTTCGGCCTCTACCGTCTCGACTTGGTCTCCATTCCAAAACATAACTTTATGGTGCAAAGTCAAAGGAACGCATTGGGTAGTGTGCATCCAATCCCTCCCGCGAATGGCCAAATAAGTTGGCTTTCCTTTGATGACGAAGAAGGCCATCCGGTCCGTCATTGTTCCGACCGTCAGTACTGTGGATCAAATCACTCTCGAAAATGGCCAAATAAGTTGGCTTTTCTTTGATGATGAAGAAGGCCATCTGGTCCGTCATTGTTCTAACCGTCACTTTCGCCGCCAACACCCCTGCCGTCGTATGCTCTTTTCCAGTGAAGTCGGTCATTCATATGGTTCTCGAGACGAGATTGTTTCTGTTTTTCCCGATCTTCCTTAGGGTAGACAGAGTCATGACATTGACGGAAGCTCCTCCATCAACTTGGACCTTGCGAACTGTCCGCGCGTCGAGGTATACGGTGAGGAACAAGTGTTTCAAATGACGCATAATCTCGTCCGTTAATTCCTGAAAGACCACTGGTTCCGGACCTTCTTTTTGAATGTCGGAATTTTGGTCCACCCAACATAACAAACCAACTCTTGCAAACAAAACATCTCCTTGGAGATAGTCGGGCTGGGGTGGAGGAGCTTCGAAATCTCGAGGTAACACACCTATTGTATTAACCTTGAGGTATCCCTCAAAACGTAAAGGTTGTTCAAGGTCTTGCTCGGAAGCAATGATATCCAAGCTAGCATCCGATGCCTCAGAGCAATCAAGAGCATCGATCATCGGCTCATCCTTTGGGGTCTCGGTTGTTTCAAGTACTGCACGGGCCTGCAAATTAACAAGACAATCATTGTTAGTTAAAACACAATTTGGTCTCCAGTCTTTCCGGGCCCGAAGCTGATGGCGCTAGTCCTTCTTATTTAATTTCAATCTTCCAGCAGCACCTCCTTCCTGATTCTCAGCCTGCGGCCACTTAGCCGGCTGCCTGTGGTCGTAATCCTGCTACCCCCCAACCTGATCCTCCTAGAAAAGCGACCGGCCAGCGTTGTCGCTGCATTCTTCTATTATTTTTTTCAGATCCTGATGCCGACTTTATAGGCCTTGTTGGATGTATTCCGACGGTGTTTATTGGTGCAGGGAATTGTTCGGTATCAATCTTCATTTCATGCTTTGCGGCCAGTCGGTGGCGGCCTTCCTTGATGACTTCCCTCTGGGATTCAGCCAGAAAAGTTTCATTCGTTTTATCTTCGGCTTTGCCAGCTTCTCCCTGGGAATGGGCAGGGTGGTTCCCGCTCCAAAAATTATTATTTCGGGCCGTTTGAGCCTTTTTCAAGGGTTGTTCGGCCTCTACATCTTTGGACATCGGCTGTTGAAACTCGTGGTATTGCTGGAGAGTCACTCTATCATGCAGCTGGTGTGTCATATTATTTATCAAAATATTCACCACCTGGTCCTCCGATACACGAACTTGGCATTTATTTTTTGCCCTTATGAATTGTTCCAAGAACTTCTTGACTGATTTTTTGCTTCTCCAATCGCCATACATCCTATGAATTGCATCTTCGATTACCTGTGGATTTATGATGGGATGTGGCAGCGGCACCATCTCTGCCTGCCCCCAAGCTGTTCGGAAGCTACCTAAACGGACAGCACATTGCGAAACACTGGCTGCGGGAATGCATGATGAGTAGGTCCCTGTTGTGGAAAACGAAGTCGGGGGCCTTCCGTAGATTCTCTAACTGGAGCTTACTGCAATGGTGTATTTTCTGGGGCTGGTTGGTCAGGATATTTGTAGGCTTGTTGTACCCCAAAACTAGTAGTAAATTGATCTTCCTCAGCAGTTCTTTACCCCCCAGTGTATCGGGATGGTGTTGGGACTAGTGCCACTGGTTCCCAAGTCATTTTGGAAGGCTTTGGGACAAAATAAAGTGCTGGAATCGTTGTCGGCCCTGCTCCCATGCATTAGAAGTCTCATGTCCGGCCGTTGGATTTCTTTGAAGGCCCAGAGTGGGGACTAGGGTGCTGAAAGTAGTTCCAACAAATAAGGGATTATTTTGCTCACGTGGTGTTGATAGGATTGACCCAAAGTCCATCCCAAATTCTTCGGTTGAAGGCGGCCCAAAAATGTCTGCCCGGACGACGTCTGAGATTCTCTGACCTTCTGGGTGGTGATCAGAGGTCTTCCACATATCTGGAATCCCTACCGAAGATAGAGACATGACCATATTTGAGCATTTGGGAGGTCAGATCTGCTGCAAAGCTGGATGTAAGGCCCTCGGGAGCCCAAATCTCGGCTGGCTGGAATTGACCTTCGAGCCTTGCTTTTATGAGTTTCTTCCTCCAAAAGCAGCACAAACTCGTTCTGAATGGCGGGTTTCAAAATATCGGTAATGTATCGTGATAGTTCTAGGGCGGATCCGTGAAGGGACGATTGAATTTCCCCACGGATCTGCTCCTAAAGGACGCTATCTGAAAGTCTAATAATCTGGTCCGGCGTTCCAGCAGCCATAAAAGCGTCGTCGCGTAGGGCAGTTTCCTGCGCATGGCACGATGACTAATCACCCATGATTTTTTTCTTTTTTTACATCTTTAAAGTCGTCAGCGGTGTCAGTTTTCTCTTCCAAAGTTGTATGCAAATATCGTGAGACGTCGGTGTCCCACTAGGTGTGTCAATTCTGTTGTCGTAAAAAAATTGCCACCGACATCTTAATTAAAAAATCATGTCATACATGATTTGTTTGAAGGATTTCTCGGCCTCCTCAAGAAAGGATCCGAGCTATCTAATGATAAAAAATAATAAAAGTGACGAAAAGGCAAAAATAAATCTAATAATGCAGGGAAAAGGAGAAGTTGGAATTTTACAAAAAAAAAGGGCCGTAAAAAATAAAAGGGTTGTTCTTGAAAGGAAAAAATTACATAAAAATGCACATAAATTATGAAGAAGATGATATGAATGTGTATGGCCTATATGAATGTGTATGGCCTGCTTTGTTCTCTCATTTTGATCTTTTATCTCTCCCAATCTTGTTTGAAATCTTGTTTTGATAAGACTATATCTCCAAATTTTCTCCAACCTCTTTTTTTTTTCAAATCATGCTTCTTATTTGTTTGCTTGCTAGCTTTCATTGGGCTGCTTCTTGCTAGCTTTCATTGGGCTGCTTCTGTAGCTTAGCTGACTTGATCACCGGGTTGGTGGGGTCCACAGGCCCACTTGTTGATTTGGATTTTCTGTTGGGCCGCGAACCTCCCAGAGCTTGGGCTGCATTTGTACTAGGCTAGTCCAATTAATTTTTGGTGTGTACATCATGTTTAAGAATGGAAATCCTTTGCTCACCTCTTACATTATCTCACATAAATCTTTGAAAATTATAATTAGTTGAAATAGGTTTAATGTAATTTATTTTTGAATAAATTTAGGAATTGATTAAAATAAATTTAATTTAATTGGTTTTGATAATTAGTTAAAATAGATCTAATGTAATGTATTTTTATCATATTTTTTTAATATAATTATTGTTGGTCGGAATTAATTTAATGTAGTTTAGTTATTAGAATTAGTTCAATGATTTAGCTACCGAATACACCGTACCCCTAGCTAAATTTTTAGAGGAAACTCGTTGTCCCTCACTAAATTTAGCGAGGGATTACACCCCTAGGTACACTATTTCCCTTTCTAAATTTAGTGAGGGATTATATCCCCCGCAACACCTTGCGACTGAGGAATTTTCCAATGATTGTTTTGTGCAATAATTTCCCTAGCTCGCAAATTAAGGATTGTTTGGGATTTTGTATCTTAACGAGGAAATAATTCCCTTGCTTACTTGTTCTTTTTCTTTTTTTTTTTTTTTTTTGTAGTGATATTGTTGTTCAACGTATGCAATCAAAAAATCATCAGTATACATCCTAGTCCTTCCGCCTGTCCACGGCTGGTTAATCTCTTCAGCAAGGCTTCTGGCAGTGACCGTGTATGTGAGTCGCTTGCATGTTTGGTATTGTTGACCTTTAAGTTCCAAGTTGAGAGGACAATTTATGTTTTATTCTTTTCATATATGTGTATGGTATGATGTGCATTTCATGGATGTTAATTGTATACTTTCCATGTCTTTTTATGGTAGGGTATATACTTCCAATTTATGTATTATTTTTTATTGGGGAAGGTTACGGTGTTGATTTAGAAAATCATCACTGTGATTTTTTAAATCAGCACCCATAAAATATAAAAACAACACAAGTTTTTATTAAAAATAGCACATGTTGTTTGTAATAATGACATCTGTTGTTTGTTTATAATTACACGCGTGTTGCACAAGTGTATGCCATGTGCTGAAATGAACTGCTGCATGTGTTATGTGAAACTATACTATGTGTTATGTGAAACTATACTATGTGTTGTTAGTTCATGTGTTGTGTTTGTATTATATGAATATATATGATGTATTGTCACTAACATTACCGTATATGTTATTTGTTAGCTATCTGTGTGTTGTTAGTTTCATGTGTTGTGCTTGTATTATATTAATATAAATGGTGTGTTGTCACAAATATTACCGTGTGCTGTTAAACATAGTGCTGAATCTGAGATTCAACGGATTCAGCACTGTAGCCGTTGCCTTTCTTATTGTATATTCAACGGTAAATCCCTAATAAAATTTATTATTTTACAAATATGGTCAACAGACCTCTGGCAGAAGCATCGGGTTGTATGGAGAGTTGCCAAAGACAGTTAAATCTCCCGGTCGCATTAGCACTATCTGCATGCCAAGAAATCATATATAACATAAAGGAACCAAGCTTCAAAGTTCTATAATCCCATGTAATAATTAGTGGCCAATATTACCATATATATGTATGTATACCTGGTAATTTCCACTGATACAGAATTTGAATCCGGCAGCAGAGTAGTCGAGATAATATTCCCATGTCCTCACAAACTTCTCGTCAAATCCAAGACCCATCACTTGGCTGCAAATACAACAAACCCCAAGAAATTAATTTAGATCTAACAATACATATACAAGGGGACTAATAATGCATTGTGCATATGCTTCAACATAACTATTTATGTATAAACTGTGAATAACCTTTGGTTTTGAAGGAATTTCTCCCTCCAACGGCGGAGGGTAGGAACGTAATGGCATCCTATCTCTTCTAGGTGTACAACACTGCATACAAACATTCACAAAAATGTGATCGAGATGAAGTGTCAGACCCCAGTCAGGGCTTTCTTTTACCTGAGTGTTGATCCAGCAGCCATGGAAGAGATTACTCGATTGAGTGAAGGAATGCATACACCCGGGAATATATATTCTTTCATGAAGCCAGGGCTGTGCCTGTATTCATCGTACCTTGCTTCTGCCACTGCTGTAAACTGTATGGGTAGGGGCCAGCAATAGATTACTGAAGCAATTTTGTGCAAGAAGCAGTAACATGAAATTAGACTTGCTTTTTGTGTGGATCAAATAGTTGTTACCTGAAAAACAAGAATTCCATTTGGGGCTAATGCAGATTCGCAGCACCTGAAAAATCCGTCCATGTATTCGTGCCCCACGGCCTCTAACATCTCACTGAAACGTTGCAATTCTCAATGAATATTCTTGGTGGTTTTGCATAAGGCATTTTGTGATTTCGATTAATTACCATGATATAATTCTATCGTACTTATGGCCCTTAGGCAATTCCCGATAGTCGCATAGAATAAGTTCAATTTGATCCTGATCGACAACACAATGATCCAAGTCAAGGAATGATGAGAAGTGGCATTACACCCAGAATAGTAGCCAATAATGTAATGAAAAAAATATTACAAACACAAACAGACACACACCTGCAGACCAGCTTCCTTTACTCTCTGTTGTACATAATCATATTGGTTTTTGGACAGAGTGACACCAGTGTATTTGCATTCAGTAAGCTTGACTACTTCAAAAGCTAAGCCTCCCCAACCACACCCAATCTCTAGCACATGCTGCCCCTTGCTGATTCTAGCCTTGAACCCGAAATTAAAACTTAGCTTTCTCCGAATGGCATAAAAATTCAAAGCTGGCATCTGAAAATGGTTCACCTTTTTTATCAAAGTATGGACTTTTCTACGCTGTGCAGTTTCCAAGTCTTCATGCGGATTCTTCAGAAAGAGGTCTGCATTTAAGAAGAAGTTTGAAAGAATATGATTGTCTGAGTGCAGATACTAACCTGAAATATGGCGCATGAATAGCTCATCGTGTCATCGAGAAATAGTGAAAAGAGTTCGTTGCTCTGGAAAGAACATGGGAGGCTTCAGATTGGCACATACGTCTTAATTATGATTTGACACAGGGGAAAGCATACTCACAAGGTCATAATGCTGTGAGACGTTCTTACGAGCGTGCGACACTGTGTTGTGCCTCGCCAAATGCTTAAAGAAGTATTTGGCTGAGGCAACAAAGGAAGTGTAAATCATTGGTGTCCACCATCCTCTGTTCATGCACCAGGTAATGCTTTTAGTTTATTTGACAGCAGATCTACAAGGGGATGTGAATCGTACCGTCATTCATTACCTTTTTTTATCCACTTTTGAGCCTTGTCTGTGCAAGTCTGTGTTGATCAGAAATATCTGCAGAATTCAAAGGTTAGCATGTCCTATTTTCATCTCAAGAAAAGAAATGCCTTGTGTATCATTCATTACCTGGAAACAGTTAAGAAGACCTTCATTCTTATCTACCAATGAAATATCACCATTGATGTAAGCATCTGCAAAGCCTAAATCTCCTTCTGTTGCAACCTACAGCAACCGTAAATGATTTGAACATATCTGCTGTTTCAGTATAAAACATTTTTCAGATGTGCAAAAGAAAATATTACCTTCCAGTAAAACTGGGGATTATGTACTCTCAAAGCCACTTCTAAATTGCTCTTTTTTCTACGACCTTTGAAAGCAAAAGTTGCACCTCCATCTTCCATTAAACTGCTTAACCACAGTTTGTATTGGATATGATATCGAAAAATGAGTTAAAACTAATGTTGCATTTTGTTTAAATGTGATGAGAGAGACTATGCAAGAACCTTACATTAGGCAACCAGAAGCAATGAAGCGTTCTAAGAACCTTGTAACAAGAAGACGCGCCACAGTTTCAGGCCAGGATGGTACTAAATGTTTTAGGGTGTTCTCAATAGAGCAACTCTTTTTAAGTAAAGTATTTGCAGCAAGCATACCGGCCTGTCAATGGTTAATTGTTTGTGTTAAGTATAGAGCATTGAACTCAAAAGAGGTTTTCTGTTGATGTACCTTTACGCGGTCTTCTAGGAAGCCGTAGCCTGTAACAAGTTTAAGCACAAATAAAACCACACTCAAGGATGTATTCATTCCACAAAGAAATTAAACTCTAAAAGTGCTTGTAAGGATTTCAGGAGCACCTTGATATGATCCACAGAACCACAGTCCCCTCTTTCCTTGTATGAGATCCAGCTCAGACATGGCTTTCGATGCAGCAACAGAAGGTATTGGACAGCTGGTCGGCCCCTTAAACAGAATGCCTTCAGGTGTGTGAGGTGGACTTAGTGTCACGAGAAATGGCAGTTTTGCCTCGCCTATATTCTGTGAAGAGATAAACACAGTTATTCTAGTAAACTACGAATGAGGTTCACTGTAAAAGGAGAAAAGCTGATGCATACGTACTTGGATGTTGTTTAGCCAGTACGTAATATAAGCTTTGTTATCAGCAGTTGTCTGAAAATTCGTTGAGCTCCATAATGATTGATTTTTCGGCATTAAATTAGTGTCATGATGAAGGAAAATATCGCTGCAATAAAGCATTCATGACAAGATATTAAAAAGAAAGATTTTTAGGTGAAAAATGGTAGAGAATGGAGGCAAATATGTTGGAGCACCTGTGGAAATAAGGAAATGCACCGAGTATTCTCAATTCATCGTATGTTGCTTCCTCCCCTAATATTTTCACGGCATCGGAAGCACGCGTCGCAATTATGCAACAATCATACATTTGTTCCAGGCCATCCTTACAGGTCACAATACAACCTGCAGAATTTGCTGTGTGAAATCTTCTTGCAGTAAGAAGACAACAGAATATTAATTAACTCACCACTTTCATTTGTTAATATTGAATGTACTTCAGAATTGCTTCTTATTCGACAGCCTCTACCTTCCAGCTCTTTCTGAACCTGGTTTGCATTAATTAATTTCTTGTAAAAGAATCTAAACTAAATCAGATGCCTCGTCTCGTGTTAAGTTCCAATTGCATCATTGATTAATAATACTTCGCTAAGTAAAGGGAATGTCTATCCCAAAAATCTCTGACTAACCTTGTGGAAATAACTTTGTAAACGCCATTTCACAGTGTGCTTCTGAGGCCAACCTAAGAGCTGCTGAGACAATTATTACAAGGGATCATATATAGATGGTGCAACCAATGTGGAGAATGATCATATACTCTTGAAATGCCAAATTTCGAAAATTCATTTACCTGAAAATTGTTGTGACTGCGCAGAACTGAAAGTACAGAAAATGCAGAGAAGTTCATCACTTGTGAAGGGCACCACAACATAGAACAGCATGTCGGAATCTGTAGCAGGAAGAAAATTAGAAAAGGAAAATTTCAGAGAAAGCATTCGATAAGATGTATGTTGTACAGAAATGTTTTGATATGATCGATATGCTATGCTTACAAGAAAAGCTTTCTGGAATAACTCAGAGTATTCACCCCGCCTAACAAATTGCTCAAGTGTTTCGTTCCTCTCCATATCTCGATTGCTTTCAAGCTCTTGTATGTACCTGTAAGTGTAACATCCATGCATAAATATTTACTGTGAATTGTTTGTCCTAATGTTGGACTTGAATATAATTAATTACAAACAGATTGTGGTTTTAATTCTGACCTTGCCGCATCGTTCTTGAACTTGATTACATCACGTATCATTTTCCAAAAGGATAGATTTAGTGCATTACTTTTTTGTGCAAACAAAGTTGACAATCCTTCCCCGTTTCCCCATTGACATCCACGGCCTCCATCAAGACTCACAGAAAATGACACGTGATCTGAGACTGCTTTATCCACTCCCAAATTCTCCAAAAATTCCACCACATCTGGATAAGTGACCTGTTGGCCCAACATAAACATATATGTATATAGATATAGTTTTCCGAATCCAGAGACATGGCCAGCTTGTTAATTGCCGGAAAAATGAAAATGGTTACCTGATGAGTGAAGACTGGAAAGCATAGATCAAGCAATACTGTGCCATCAAGTACTGTAAGTGTGCTCAGAGCTCGGCCTCGGCCTCCCAATGCATCCTCCTTCTCATACACAACTACCTGGACACCGTCTCTCGCCAGCATGGCTGCAGCCGCCAGGCCACATATGCCGCCGCCTACCACGGCCACCTTCATTGCTCTATCTATCTTCCTGAGTGTTGTCGTACATACACATAATAGAGATAAATAGTAATCAATCATAAATAGTACATGCAATTACACATCAAAAATATACCTCTCTTTCTACAGATGAACATGATTAATTAATATGTTAGTTGTGAGATGGAAAACAAACCCGATGATGGATGAATCAGCAGTTAGTCAGTAAGTGAATCTGTTAATGAGAACAATATACACAGTCAATCATCCAAACAGACTACTGATTCTATTTATTCATGTTTTGAACGTCCAGTCCACCCCATATATTCATGAGGTGCCGTAAAAATTTAAATTTTTTCATTATTGCATACCGACCTCCTATTCTAATTATTTTTTTGAGGCTTGAGAGCAGGGCTGTCCTCTGCATGAGCCCATGCCCGGCCTCAAATTTATGGGGGCGTTTAGGGCAAGTACAATGGGGGTATACCCACGTAACATGCTATGTAAGATTTTTAAATTGAAAAAAGAAAAAAATAAAAAAAAAAATTTCATAAGGCCATCCGCATCAATCAAAATCCAATATGGGTTTCTTTCATCTCTAGCCTATTTCCACGTCATATTCTCTCTCTACCACGTCATCGGAGAAACTCATTCCATTTTATACCTTCATCAAATATACTCATTTATACAAATTTTAATTTATCTTTCCTCCCTATTATTAAATTATCTATTTTTAAAATAATTTAAATAATAATAATTTTTATCTAATATGTATATTTATTAGTATAAATAAATTCTATTGATTTGATACTACAATCATAAATATAAGAATGGTGTAAGAAACTAGTAGAATAAAATTAATGTAATGTGAAAATTCAATTTTATGGTACAACATTTTGTATTTATGTGTCTTTAAAAAAATAAAATAAATTCTATTGATTTGATACTACAATGATAAATATAAGAATGGTGTAAGAAACTAGTACAATAAAATTAATGTGATGTGAAAATTCAATTTTATGGTACAACCTTTTGTTATTATTATTAATTGGTTATATTTAATTAAAATTTTATTTAACAAAAATATATCAATATTGTATCATTTTGTAAAAAATAAAATTTTATAAAATATAAAAATATAAAAATTATTAATAAATATATATAATAAAAATATAATGTATAAAAACTAACTAAAAAAATATTTTTTTTTGCCATGTTAAATTGGAACACATGGCAAAAATACACTAATGTCCCAGTTTCAAGGGAATACTGCAGATGCAGCCAGCGCTACACGCTGGCAAGAAAATAATTGATTTTTATTATTTTTTTTTTATCCGACATGGGGGTTTCTCTGCAGGAGAGAAACCCCCGATGCTGATGGCCTAAGTATCTTCACGAAGATGCTCACGAGATATGCACTTTATTTATTTTTTTATATTTATATTTTTATATTATATAAAATTTTATTCTCTATAATATGTGTATTGATATATTTTTCTTAAAAAAATAATCAAAAAAAAGTAATTCGAAGATTTAGTAAGTTTAGATTATTATTTGATCTAACCCAATAGGTTTGAGTATATCGAATCTGATTTATGGTGTCTATATATATGTCCTTATTTTAGTGATCATATAAAGCAATTTTCCAATTTTTATAATTTATATTAGGTATCAGAATCTATGTATCTGCGGTCTGTTCGATGTGTACAGTATCTATCATCTGTCCGTTGTCCATGATCTATTCGTTATCAGTGAGTTGTTTGTTTGCGTAGCTGTGAGTTTGTTTGCTATCAGTGATCGGTTTGTCTCCGTAACCTTGAGATGTATGTGTTTGTCTGCGTAGCTGTGAGCTGTTTACTTATTAGTGATCTGTTTGTCCCTGAATTGTCTGCTTATGAGTGATCTATTTGTGTGTAGCTATGAGCTATCAGCTTATGAGTGATTTGTTTGTCTACATAGCCGTGAGTTGTTTGCTTATCAGTGATCGGTTTGTCTTTGTCTGCGTAACCGTGAGTTATCGGCTTATCAGTGATCTGTTTGTGTGCGTAGCTTTGAGCTGTCTGTTTATAAGTGATCGGTTTGTTTGTATAGCTGTGAGTTGTTTGTTTATCAAAGATCTGTCATTTCTCTTCTATCGATGATCTGTCGTCCGTTTGCTTCCGACTCATATTCCATTAATGCAAACTCAAGTTAGTTTCTACAATACTAGTTGATTTTGAGGGAGGATGTTGAGATATTTTAGATTTAGCTTATTATTTATTTAGATTAGTTTGATCTATTTATTTTAGATTTGATAAGTTTAGATTTTAATTTGGTCTTATCCAATAGGTTAGATTGTTTTTATTTGAATTTATCAAGTTTATTTCATGGTGCATATATCTAGGTCCTTATTTTATTGATCATATAAAGCAATTTTCTAGTTTTTGTAATTTATTTTTACAGTGGGTATGTATAAAAGGTTGCCGTACACGTTAAAGTGAATGATGTTTCCAAGCAAAAAAATTTATTCAACACAAGTTTTTTTCTCAATGACATTAATTCCATTATTCTAGCGAAGAGAGAGAAATAGTGTCACATACACGTTAAAGTGAATGACGTTTCCAAGCAAAAAATTTTATTCAACACAAATTTTTTTCTCAATGACATTAACTCCATTATTCTAGTGAAGAGAGAGAAATAGTCTCACATTTCCTTTTATAAAAAGCCCTCTCGACTGCACCAAGCACCTTCCAACTTTATTATATCTAAACAATTTTATTTTTTTTTATAAAAAAATGTTTTTTTAATTATTTATCCAAATATAAAATCGAACTATTGCTTTTGCTTTATTTTTTAAGTCAATTCAAACGGACCCTTAATTATCAATGTATAAGCTCTCAGGGTACTTTTAACCAATATATATATAATAAAAATATTATTAATATATGTATTATATTAAAATGTTTATATTAAATCTTTTTTGTTGTATTTATATTTGAATTGTAATTTAAATATATTCCGATATTATATTATATATATATATATAAAACTCTCTACTTTTATGAAAAAGATGATTGTTTGTTATTTTGTACATAATTTTTTTAATATTAGTATTATATTCTACGTAGTACAAATTAATAAAAAGACCGAAATAGTCCTATTAATATTGTTTAATATAAATATAGTGATATTTGTATAGTATATTTAAGAAAATGAAAATCTCATTTTGAGACGGATAAAAAAAACAACCTTCTAATGGATAGAGGAAGTAATATATTTTTACTTATGATAGAACCAAACAACTTCAAAATAAAAATTTAAAATTTACTTCATCCGTCTATTAAATTTATGCATACTTTTTTTGTCTAAAAAAAAATATATATTTTCTATTTTATAAAAAATAACTTTTACACGCTTCTTAATTTATACTCTTCAACATTACACTTGTTTACAAAATGTCACAATTGCTTACACACGGCGTGTATTTAGTTCACTTTTAAAATTCTTTTCAAATCAGGAGGTAGGAAATCCAAACTTTTAAAATTATTCTCAAATTATGAGGTAATCAATTCACACTTTTAAAATTTTTTAAAGAATGTTATGTATTCAACCATTCATAGAATTTAAACATGAAATTATTGAATTTTAATTGAAAGTTATGAAAATTTTTTGATAAATTCTTATAACATAAAAAAAAAATGTATTATTGATATATAATTAGGATAATATTTATTAATATTATTAAAAATTGTATATTAATAAATAAATAGTTAAAAGGTAAAATATAGTAGTGGTTACCAAATTTTCTGAGAGTATGTATTTTTATATTATTAAATATAATATTTACAAATATTACAATTTTATCTTAATTATAAATCTGCATTACTACCATCTTTCTTTTACTAATTAACGAATTAACTCCATTGTATTTGGGTGGAAGTAAACTATGTATTTATATTTTCTTCCATAAAAATAAAAATAGTTTGTCTATATTTATTCCTTTTTTTATTGCTTTGTTTTAATTTTTTAATTTCAAATTTTTTTTCCCCAAAAATCATAATATAATCTTTGTTTTATTTCAATTCCATTATTAGTTCGTTTAGCCATAATTGGCTAGATTAGTTGATGCAGATTATTGATAGATTTGGCTGCTTTGTAGTTCAATTAAATTAGCCTAGTTATGTGCTTGATTTTGTGTATTGTTGATGCAGATCATTGATAGATCATTGATAGATTTGGCAGCGCAAACCTGGCCTATATATTGCTGTAGTATAAATTCATTGCTATATTTTGCTGCTAGTCAACTAAGTTGGCATACTCTTAGTTTAATTAGATACATAGCTTGGTGCTCATATTTTGTTTGCATTAATATTTTAGGTTAGAAATTGGTGGGATCTAGATTAGTCTTGTTAGTTTAGTTAGAAAATGCCCCTTAAAATCATATATAGAAATATGTATAAATAAATGGATTATATATATACATTATTACATAATAAAAATATATAAAATAGTAAAAGTAATGGGTTATAGGTAGTTTACTATAACGTGTGATAAATGAAGTAATTTGAATGTTGAGATGAATATGACGTTGATAAAAGAGGTCAAAGAAATAATGAAATATAAGTAATAACTATAACAAATGCTTTTAGAGCGTGTTGTTTTGTTTGATTATATATTTGTGCGTCATTAGTTGTTGTAATATCTTTTGCAATAGTTTGGTTATTCATCTCTCCGTCATTGTCAACTGTATGTTTAATTAGTTATTGAAATAAATTTAATTTTCAGTTGGCTTAGTTAAGATTTAATAAGTTGATTTATCGAGTTTTTTTGGCAAACCTTACATATAGCTCCAGTGATCTATTCATACTAAAACCTACAATTTACTTTTGCATAAATTATATGGGTCTAAATTATTTTGCGTAAATTATTCATAATTATATTCAAATAATTATTATTATTATATTTCATGTCACTTAATTTAGGTTTGAGGCATCTAATTTTATTATTTTGAGTCAAATTGATCTATTTGTACTTATTTATTTATAGTGAAATATATT